GCTCCCTGTTCTTTAGGATTGTATCCAGGGAAAAAAAAAGTCTTTTTTATTTGCTAGGTGTAACTGCTGAGTAATTTCAAGGCTGATTTTTTTTTTCTTGGACTCCTGAACTTCATTTAGTAGAATGACTTCTAGTGGCACAAATAACAAAAATGATAAACTGATTGTTGAGTTATGGCTCACAGGGTGGCTCATAGCTGATCAAGCATGATTCTTAGGTCAGAAAGATCCGATGAAGGCAGCAGAGGGCAAGTCTCGCCTCGTCTTGTCTTATGAAACTGAAAAATATTGACACGCCTGTAGGTTTCAGTTCTTCAAAATAGGCCTGCGTCCCCATATTCCTTCTTAAAGCCAATCTCTCCCAAATCAATTTAAGCTTTGGGAAGAGGATTTGTCTAAGAAAGGCTATCAGAACCCATTAAAAGTCTGTTCACAAAGCATTTGGCAATTCATGTATCATCTGTTCTCCAGGGAGCCCATAGGAGCGTGCGCTTCTGGAAATGTAGCAGACGACTTTGTAAATCAATGTGACTGCTGCTGACAGTGGGGACTTACTTTCTAGACTAAGGTCAGAGAGAAGTAAACAGTCAATTATTTTTCTATACAATAAATGAAACTCAGTTTCTGTCTCTGTAATAACTGCACTCATCAGTTTCCTTTTCCAAACAGCTTGTTAACATAGGTGGATACCCATCTCAACCCTATGTACCCCAGAGAATTCCTCTCAGCCCCCATTTTATGAGACACTAATAACCATCACAGTGTCATTTACATAGCACTGTGGCCAGGCACTTTATATGCATTTTCTCATTTAATCCCCACAGCAACCCTGAGAGGTAAGTGGTTTACAAACAGGGACAGTGAGCTCAGAACGATGAAGTCATTTTCTTGAAGCTACACAGCCAGAAAATGGCCTAAGGAGATTCAGATCCAAGTCTGTCTGTCTCCAGAGCCTGTGCTTTTAAAAATTACTGCAGGTTTCTAATATCATAGATGAGTGCGAAACAGAGACCACCATTTCTATCTTGGCCATATAGGAAGTAAAACTACCTAAAATCCGTCCCTTGTTATGATATAAAGAAATTGCGAAGCCGGGCTCGGTGGCTCAGCCTGTAATCCTGCGCTTTGGGACGCTGAGGTGAGGGGATTGCCTGAGCCTGTGGGTTCGAGACCCGCCTGGGCAGGCGAGACCTCATCTCTACAATACATCAAAAATTAGCCAGGCGGGGTAGCGTGCGCCTGTAATTCCGGCTGCTCGGAAGGCTGAGGCAGAAGGATCGCAGGAGCCCAGCAGGTCGAGGCTGCGGTGGCCGGGTGCATGCCACTGCCCTCCAGTCTGGGCGACAGAGTGAGACTCCAACTCAAAAAAAAAAAAGAAATTGCAATAAAAATATTTTTCTCTGTTTTTCCCACCCTGTAGGTGAACAGTTTTTGGTGTCCTTGTAGGGAGACCACGTCATAAATAAAACTCTCAAAGGGAGGTATGTAATTTTCAGATCTGCAAAGTTTATGACAAATACTCTCAGAAAATTAGGACTAGAGGAAGAACTTTCTAAACCTGATGACAATGTCTACGACCAGGCATGGTGGCTCACGCCTGTCATCCCAGCACTTTGGGAGGTGGAGGTGAGAGGAATGCATGAGCCCAGGGGATCAAGACCAGCCTGGGCAACTTGGCAAGACCTCGTCTCTACAATAAACAAAAAAATTAGCCAGGTGTTGTGGCACATGCTTGTAGTTCCAGCTACTTGGAAGGCTGAGGCAGAAGGATTACCTTAGCCCAGCAGGTCGAGGCTGCTGAGGCCGTGAACATGCTACTGCACTCTGGCCTGGGCGACAGAGTGAGACTCTGACTCAAAAAAAAGCATGTCTACAAAAAAAAAGAAGCAAACCTACAGTTAACATCATATTTAATGGCAAAAGATTCAATGCTTTTCTCCTAAAATCAGGAACAAGACAAATATAAAAAGTTATATTGCCCTCATCACTCTTACTCAAAAGAGTATTAGAAGTTCCAGCCCAGGTAATACTACAAGAAAAGGGAATTAAGAGCATGTTTCAGAAAGCGAAAAATAAAACTGTTCTTAGTTGCAGATGACACAGTTATTTACATATAACATCCCGAGAAATCTACATAAAACCTTCCAGAAAGTTCACTTAAGGTAGCAAGATACCATATAAGCATACAAAAATCAATCTTATTTTTATATAATGGCAATGACCAGGTGGACACTGAAATTAAAGGTATAATATCATTTACCAGTGCTACCAAAAATAAGGAGAAATACTTAACTGTAAATCTAAAAAAAAAAGTATATGGGACTTGTATGCTAAAAGCTACAAAACATTCATAAAAGAAATCAAAGACCTAAGTCAGTGGAGCAATATTCTATGTTAAAAAAAAAGAAACACAAAACCAAAAACCATAGTAAAAATACCAGTTCTTCTCACACTGATATACAGGTTTGAACAACTTCCATCAAAATCTCAGCAAGACATTTTGTAGATACAGACAGACTTATTCTAAAGTGTGTATGGAAAGGCAAAGGTACTAGCATAGGCAAAACAACTTCGGGAAAAAAGGAATAATATAGGCAGAATCGCTCCACCTGATTTAAGACATAGATAGCTACAGTGACAAGACTGTGTCATCCTGATGGAGGGACAGAGACATAGATCAATGGAATACAACAGAGAACTCCAAGCAGCCCCACGTAAGTATGGCCAAGTGATTTTTGACAAACATGCAAAAGCAATTCAATGGAGAAAAATGGTGCCAGAGGAACTGGCGGGCTGTAGGCAAAAAAATGAACCTTGGCCTGAACCTCACATTGTATACAAAAAGTAATTCAAAATGGCTCATAGGTTGTTTTTTGGTTTTGGTTTTGGTTTTGAGTTGGGGTCTCCCTCTATTGCCCAGGCTGGAGTGCAGCAGCATGATCACGGTTCACCACAACCTTGACCTCCTGGGCTCAGACGATCCTTCCACCTCAAGCCTCCCAAGTAGCTGGGACTACAGGTGTGCACCTCCATACTTGGTAATTTTTTAATTTTTATTTTTGTAAAGATGTGGTTGCACTGTATTGCCTAAGTTAGTCTCGAACTCCTGGGCTCAAGCAATCCGCTTACTTTGGCCTCCTAAAGTGCTGGGATTACAACTGTGAGCCACCGACCCTGGCTGATAGATTTAAACATAAAATATAAAACTATGAAACTTAGAAGAAAACATAGGAGAAAATCTTCAGGATCAAGGACTTGGTGCAGTGTTCATAGACATGACACCAAATACATGGCCCATAAAAGAAAAATGATGAGTTGGACTTCAAAATTTAAAACTTTTGTTCTGTGAAGACTCTGTCAAGAGGATGAAAAGACAAGCTACAAACTGAGAGAAAATATTTGTAAACCATACATATGATAAAGAACTCATATCTAGAATATATAAAGAACCTCAAAACTCAGTAGAAAAATCCCCACACAATCCAAGTAGATAATGAGCCTAACACATGAACAGATATTTCACCAAAGAGGATACGCAAAAGGAAATAGTATGTGAAAAGATGTTAAGCATCTGTAGCCACTAGGGAAATGCAAATAAGACCATGATGAGACACCACAACATGCTTCCTAAGACAGCTAAAAGAAAACAACAACACTGGGAATGGCAAATCATACAGTCACTCTAGATAACAGTCTGGCGATTTCTTTAGAACATATACTTATCCTATGATCCAATCACACTCCCAGGAATTTATCCCAGAGAAATGGAAACTTACGTCCACCCCAAAACCTGTACACACATGTTTAGAGTAGACTTATTTACAGCCCCAAACTGGGATTAGTCATAATAGCCTTCAATGCGTGACTGGTTAAGCAAATGGTGGTATATCCATACAATGAAATCCTACTCAGTAATAAAAGGAACAAGCTAACAACCTAAATGGATCTCAAGGCATGATGCTGCATGAAAGCAGAACAAAATAACAACCCCAGTCTCCAAGGGCCACACACGGGATGATCTCATTCATATAGCCTTCTCAAAATGACACAATTATAGAGATGGAGAAGAGATTCTCACTTGCCCCAGGTGAGGGATGTTGGGGGAGGCGGTACCGTGGCCATAGCAGGGTATTACAAGGGAGAGATCTCCGATTAGGGAATAGTTCTGTATCTTGATTGCAGCACAGGAATCTGTAAATGTGGTAAAATGACACATACACACACTGTGTCCATGTCAGTTTCCTGGTTTTGATATTGTTATCATCATGTAATATGCAACCAGTGGGGGAAGACTGAGTGAAGCAATCTCTCTCTATTTTTGGAACTTGCTGTGAATCTGTAATTTCAGAGTAAAAAGTTTGAGAAGTCTGTTGAGTGGCATCTAAGAGAGACTTGCCTTTCACAGTTAGGAAGAGATTCCTCTGCGTTTCTGTCTCCCTTTCAATATTTTAACCCCCATCCATGTTTTAAAATCTCAAAGCCACTGTTTTTATTACTCCCCTTTTTCTTCCAACTTTGTTGGCTGTCATGCCTTTGGCCCAAGCCACAGCTGATACAGAGAATGAAATGAAACGAAAGAGCACAGGAATGAGCCCAGGTCACAGTGTGATTTGCTGCTTGGAGCTCTGGGAGCTCTGAGGTCCCCGACAAGAGGTTGAAAAAGGGAGAGAGTTTCAGCCCAGAGCAGGTGAAGGCCAAGGCTCCTGTTCCAGGCCCACCTTCCAAGCTAGCTCTTGAGGCTGCTGGGAGGGGACAGGCGGGATGTCCGCAGATGCATTCAGCAGAGGGCAGAGGGCACATCACTCTGTGTGGTGCACAGCTTCTGTACTTATGCCAGGGAGATGTGGGACACTGGGCAACAGGTTATTGGCAGCACATCAAGGAAAGATGTGCCAGTTTGCCCAAGGTTGTGCTTTAAAAGAGATCTAGGTCCACATAACACTGAGAACTGTTGAGGTGAAGGGGTTAGGGAGGGGTGGACAGGTGGGAAGAGTTCTTACCTCTAAAACAAGGTCAGAATCTTCATGCCTTCCAATTGTGGTGCTTTTATTTAGGACAAAGAAGCCTTCAGCGCTCTTGAGGTAGGCTTTCATTCTCTCTGTTTTCCCTATGTAAGATTTTCAGAGAGAATTTTGTTAGAAAGACACAGTCCTCTATTCAACAACAGCATACTCAGAATGAATGAAACCAGAGTCATATCCAGAGAGAGGTCAGCGGAGGAAGGAGTGGACAATGAATGAGCAGTAATCGCAATGACAACTGTGCACATTTTCAAGACGATTTTCTCTAACAGCAAAATCTAGCATGGGAGAGCTTGGTTCTAATAACCAAACAGAGCACATTTCTTAAGTAATTCAGGGCACACACAGAAGAGAAAACAACTCAACAGGAAATCTGAACTCCACAGGGTTAGTTACCTGATATATCAAGTATTCATGTTTACTCTTCCTAACCCATCACTTACTAGCTCTGTGACCCTGAATGTGTTACCTATTCTCTGTGCCTCGGTTTCCTCATCAGTAAAGTGGGTTTCATGAGGATTAAGTACAATAACACAGGTGAAGTATCTAGAATGGTGCCTGGCACCCACCAAACACTCATTGCTGTTGTTACTCAAGGCTTCTCGAACTCAGACCCAAGGAATCCTAAGCTTCCACAGTACTTCCTGAAGAGTCAATCATTAGATGATTCTTTCTCTTTAAATCATTGCATTTATTCATATATTTAGTTAGCATAAAGAGATGGTTTCTAAAGGCAAAGCGACACGATCATAGCTTGGCCATGTGACGAGGTGTATATTTTTTCTCAACATTTGAGTGTGAAATGTCAAATATACGGGTGAGTTTCCAGAAGCAGATCGCAAATGCCTATATACCCACTACTTAGACACTACAGTGGACAATTGGCTGTATTCGCTTTATCACACATTGATCCACTCATCCACCCATGTTCTATTTTGATGCATTTCAAAATAAGTTCTCTATGTGTTTGAAAAAGCAATTGACAGTAATTCATCTTGATGCTTGAATTCTGATTTGAGATGTGTCCAGTGTGGCAGACTCTACCCTGGAGCCATGACAAAGAATAACAGCCCTTCTCTTTTCAACTGAAAAGTACTGGACGAAGGAGAAGGATAGCTGTCACTAGCTGTGACAGTGAGGACTCTCAGGGCTGACCCCACTCTCATCATCATCTCTGTATCATCTACTGAGGCCTTAGCAAGCGCCGGCCACTGACTCTCAAATCACTCTGTTCATCCTCAGAACAACCCTGCGAGGTGGGCCTCGTTACTGTTTCCACTTTACAGATGAGGAAAATGAGCTCAGAGAGGCGAAGGCCTCCCAGAAGCCACGGCAGGGACAGAATTCTGAGCCTTTGCGCTCACAGCCATACAGGTCCAGGAAGATCAACTTCTCACACCTCTGCCACTGCTAGTGGGGCCGGGGCAGGGGTGTAGGGGCAGAGGAGCAGGGGAGTGACCAAGTGTGGGGGAGAGGTTGCTCTGCTTGTTGCCACTTGGGACAGGCAATAAGAGAAAGACTTTGAAACCGGGATCCCATCCTCTGAAAGGAAGAAAAGACCTTACCTGGGGGGTGAGAGAAATAACAACAGGCTGGATAAGTTGATTTTAGGCTTGTCAAGTCTGACACCAAGGGGAAAAATCCACCTCCACAAATAGTGACACTTTCATGTCACAAAAAATACATTTTATTGTTAAGTGTTGGAGACCACTGCCCTGCTTGAACTTTGCTGAAAATATACTTGGCATATGTGTGAAGTCACAACCAGCCAAGAATGCCTATAATGGCAAAGTTGGATAGGCACATATGCTGAGGCAAGTTCCAAAAGTGCAGTGTCTGTTGTGTTGGGTTACATAAAAAGTTATACATTGTCTTGCAAGCAGCTGCACTATATTTTGTAAACAGTCACGTTTTATCATAAAAAGCTTTTTAAGTTCAAAACAGGGAGTTTTCTTTGCACCGTCTGTACTTTGTCCTTAAACGCTTACTTAACTACATCATTTTGTACTAATAAAAGTCTGATGGGTAAGAAACTCTGGGCCTTTGTCCTGTGAGGCAAAGTGTCCCCTGGTTCCCTCACCTTCTAGTTCTAAAAGTGTTTTGTGAATTGTGTTATACTGTGCCGTTCCTCTTTCAGGATCCTTTACCACCCAGTCGCGCAAGACACAGCAGTTAAGTTCACTGTGTTTCACAGAGGAGAAAAGACATTTCCTGATCCAAAAAAATCCTTGCCCTGCTCCCATCCAATCACCTAAATTATTCATCTTCAGTGGCCGAGGACGACGTTATCAAGCACCACATTCAATCTAACTAATCTCAAGCCAACTTTGGAGAAATAGCTCTTCTGTGGGAAAGCCCCAGGAGAGGCCACCAGAGGCAAACCCCGAATGTGGGTGACTTGCTTGTTCAGCTCTCCGCCACGTGCTTCCAAGACTGGTGCCTTCTCCCACTCAGGGTTCCCTTGTGGTCCCCACCTGACCACACTGTCTAATGGCCACGTGTCACTGCTGGGTCCCTTTCTTGGCCTTCTCATTCTCTGCCATTTTTTTTTTGAGTTGGAGTCTCACTCTGTCGCCCAGGCTGGAGGGCAGTGGCACGCT